AATGAGTATATTGAATATATTGAATGAGTATATTGAATATATTGAATGAGTATATTGAATATATTGAATGAGTATATTGAATATATTGAATGAGTATATTGAGTTAGTTTTACTCAATATACTCATTTTTGTAATAACTCATGTTATTTGAAGGTAGAATAAAGGCAGACCACACTTTGAAAACCCTGAAACAGGGAATTTTCGGAGCCTAATGTTTTAAATATGAAACTATATTCACGAAAAAAATAAGTACATTTAAAGCAGATTTAAAAGCTGTCACTTGGTCACCACAGTAGAGGGACATTTTGTGAAGAAAAAATCTGCTGCGGCACTGTGTGTACTGCAGCAAGATGTAAACAAATTTCCAAGTTTTAAATATCAGATCGTGGATTTATTTCTCTCTCTCACAGAACGAATAAAAGGTTTATCGACGTTTTATTTAATAATATTTAATTGTGCAGAAAAGAACCAAAAGATTTGAATAATTTCAAAGATTTGCATGTAAATTGTAAATATCTGCTCTATGCCTGCATGTATAAACTTGTTTCAGAAAACCTCCAAAATTGTTTTAATAGAAAAGATCGATAAAGTGGAGAAATATTTTGGTGGATTTTTTAGATGATTTAAAATTTTTTTTTATATTTACCCCTTGAATAGGTATTCAGGTACACATCTCTTTAAAAAACTGATGTGAGGTAATATTTCAAAAATTTTTATCAATATAAAATATAACAAAATCAGGTGTAAAAATCAGACGTAAATTGAAATTAATCACAGAATCGTAAATTCAAAATAAATAATTGAAATCATTGGAAATAACAATTCTTGAAACATAAATATAAGTTAAACATTTCTTAAAAATTTCTATAATTAGTTACTATATGATTTGCAGAGAGGAGGTAGATAACCAAAAATTACATTAAAAGTCGTCATTGAGTAATGTCGTGTGTGTGTGTACTGCATGTAAGAAGTACATGAATTTTTGACCCGGCAAGAATTCTTTCAATAATATATTGTTTTACAAATATTTTACCTTAGTCGCTAATATCTGACAAAGGATTAAATTAGTTTTTGCCACAAACTCTGATTTTCTAATCTCTATGTCTTTTCAACATAATGACCTTAGATACTTCAAACTATAGCTTCTGTAAAATCAAATAATCAAAGTTGAAATATCAAAGGTTTACACCATCCGGTTGCAAAGATATATATTTGAGTCTGTGACAAAGACTCAATTGCTTTGCGCTTGCGTATGCATATTATAAATTGTAGGTGGCAATTACGTACCAACTATCCGTACTTTTGGGTAACACATCGTTTTGTTGGATAGGTACCTCCTGTTGGATAGGTACCTCCTGTAGGATAGGTACCTCCTGTTGGATAGGTACCTCCTGCAGACCCAATATATCTGAAGAATCCCTTACAGTTGTATTTAAGTTGAGGTTGTACAGTACACGCACAGCTAAACATAATTCAAAGACGGAAAATAATGACGACTTTATAGATCTTCCTTTGCCCTGCTTTAATTAAATGTGTTAATAACAATTAAAATGTTGACATTCTTATGAAACGCTTAAACATTTTGATCCCTGTATATCAGTATACAATTGATAAAAATAAATACTGATTTAAAGCCAAGACTAGTTCGCTTTGGTAATCCTAGAAACTGACTTTTAATAAATTCTACATTCTCTAATCAAGTTAATTTTTGTAAAACCTAAATTTGCCATATTAACAAAGTGTTTGCACGGAACTAAAACTCAGCAAAAAAGCACTTTTCGAAGATTTGTCTTCGCCAAATAATTGTTGTACTTTTAAACCAAGGATGTGAGGGTAAATGCTTCATTATGCTTGAATTTTTTTTGTGCAGACTGTAGACCTTCGACTTCAGACTAATTTTCGTAATCTAAAATATATACATATAAATAAAGATATTATGTCATCATTATATTATGTATTCAATTTGTTAACTAAGTTTAAAATGCACTCTTGGTGTAAATTATAGAACGAAAACTTTAAAAAGATTAAAAAGGTTGTAAAATTCAACAATTTTAAATGAAAGCTAAAAATTAGTTGAATTTGATAGAAATTGTAAAAACAGAGGTTTAATTTTGAAATATTTTTGACTTAAAAAATAAACCTACGTTTTAAGTTTTGGAAGATCTTCATCTGATGTTGAATTAAATTTTGTTAGCTCCTGAGTGTTGACCCCAACCCTGGAACATGTATGGGTGTGTCGGATAGTGTGGGTGGGTGTGTCCTGGTAGTTTAGCGGGAACTGCATGGCGGGGGTCGGGAGCTTCCCTCTTCCTGCACCCGTAACATCCCGGGCGCTCTGCAACCTGAAGTAGTTTATTATCTTACTCAGGGTTCTTGGTTTAACTGGAAGTAATCTTATTCAAGTAAACACACGGAGTAATCTTACTAGGGAGTAATCTTACTAGAGGATACACATGGAGTAATCTTACTAGAGGATACACATGGAGGAATCTTACTAGAGGATACACATGGAGTAATCTAATGGAGTTATCTTACTTAAGGATACAAATGGAGTTATCTTACTTAAGGATATACATGGAGTTATCTTACTCAAGGATACACATGGAGTAAGTAATCTTACTTGAGGATACACTGGGAGTAATTTTTCTTGAGGATGCACTGGGAGTAATATTACTTGAGGATACACTGTGAGTAAAATTACTCAAGGATACGCTTGGAATAATATTACTCAAGGATACATTGGGAGTAATATTACTGAAGGATACCCAGGAAGTAATCTTACTCAAGGATACGCTTGAAATAATATTACTCAAGGATACATTGGAAATGATATTACTCAAGGATACACTGGCAGTAATATTACTCAAGGATAAACTGTGAGTAATATTACTCAAGGATACAATGGGAGTAATATTACTCAAGGATACACTAGGAGTAATATTAGTCAAGGATACACTGGGAGTAATATTACTCACTAAACATAATTAAACCATTGATGGTCTCTTATCTTCTCCTAGAACTGACAGTGTCTAAATTCATCCCTTGAAAAAAAATATATCTTCTTTGGGGCACTTACATACTTATGTACATTAGTACCAATAAAAATTAGGTACTGCTATATTCAAAGATAATAACAAACATACATGCAAAGAGCGAGATACATGCGAAGCTGTAGTAGCATGCAGGGGGGGGGGGCAGAAATAGATCTGCTCCTGGTTCAAAACCTACCTCTCTCCCGGCTCCCGGATCTACAAAATCTTACAAATTGATAAATATTAAAATTAACATTAATTTTTCCTATAATGAGGGTTACAGTTAATACATGGAGAGGATGTTTCTAGAGTTTAGTTTTGACAAGATGGAATACTCTAGAAATATCCGATACATCAACAAGGGGTGTCAAGGAATTCAAGGGGGTTCACGACTAACATTCATGTTGTTACATTTTCTAATCTCCTGATTCAGATTTAGATTAAGGTTATTTTAATTCTGTTCAAATACATCCTTTTAAATTTGTTTTTCTTAAAAAATGTATTTTATCTGATACACGTGAAGACCCCTTCCTTAACACAAAAACACAGATAACCAAACATAAAAAAACAGGTTGACCCAGATTCCAGAATTATTCAATATTGAGCTTTGAGGCAACCTGTTACATTTAGCTCACACAAAGAAATTTTAACCAATAATCTAAACATCAGAAAAACCAAAGACTATACAGATAGGACAATAAAATAGTTGTTTAGGATAATATTTTTACGTACAATCTCTTTCATCTATACCAATACAGCTGACCCATTTCAAGCTTGGATTATTGAGTGCAATTGAAACCCCGGTTTGATAAGCGTACACAATTTTCTACAAATACAATCATCTATTGTACTATCTGTTAAATATGTGCTAAAACATTTATTCTTAACAGTTACTTAGTTTAATATTTGCTAGTGAACTAGTTAATCCTATAGTATTTTAGTTCTCTTGTTTACTTAAAGTCAACCACTACGGAGAAATAGACTTTTCATAATAATTAAGACGAAAAACTAAAAATCCGCGATTATTCGTAATCAAAAAACCAGTGAGTTGATGTAAAAGCTTCAATTTTGAACGGATGTCCGTTTTTTTAGATTGACTCAAGATAATTGAAGAATGAAATAATTTGGGGTAATAAAAGAAAATTTAAAACCCGGGTGCAGCTTATAATTTGCGTCTTTTGATTGGAAATTTTAAGCCGATATAATAAAATGTCAAACATCGGACTTTCCTAAAAATTGACACGTGAAATAAACTAATTTTTTTTATTTTTTATTTTTATCGTCACCTTACAGGGGGAAATATAGGACATGTTTGGCGACATTTTCTTATTTTAGTAAAAACTGTAGAAAAGAACATTAAATATTGAAATTAGGTACGTATAGAATTAGAAAAATGCTATGTATTTATTTGAGCCAGACACTAAGTCTGCAAGTGTACACAAAGTATAGTATTTGAAGAATGAAGTTAAAGATTTTTCTATAAAATTCCTTAAACTTGATTTACATTTTAGGCATCATGAATGTATAAGAGTCCCCCCCAATATCTGGCATGTATAATATTCTATTTCAAAATAAATATCCCCCAAAGTAGTAATTTTCCTGAATTTCAACAAACAATAGTCGTAAATTTGAAAAATGAATTGTATGCTGAACTGTTAAGATGTTTTCTCCTTGTAAATTGCCCATAACAGAGTTGAAATTATTTATTCATGAACTAATGGTATATTAGGAAACTTTTCATAAAATGACCTACGCATTGGGAACTATTCATGAACTTCTACATAGAGCTCATGTCTCTTTTTTACAGATTATGAATCTATTAACAATCCATAAACTATAGTAGTCGGCGTTTATAGCAATACAATGAAAACGACTTTTCTAATTAGGTTTAGTTCTTTAACAAGCTTTTTTCAAATTACAAGTTTACAAGTAAACATTTAAAGAATCTGTTAACTGACAGCTTCTCTGTGTTTACATTTTTTGTATCTCCATGCTGTTTGAAAGCTTGTTAAAATCAAAATTAAAATGTAAAGTCGTCTTCATTGTATTGATATATACGACGACGACTATTATAAATTGGCTAATTAACGGTGTGTAAGATCAATGCTCAATGCTTAAAAATATTTAAAAACATCTATTAAAACATCTATTAAAACATCTATTAAAAACACACATAAACGTTTGATTTAAAGAAAAAGAAACCGAAAACCAGAAATAATTTAAATCTTAAGATAACAAATTTAAAACATTTTTCTGGTCTTCTTAGTTCGATATTTTATTTTTAGTTTGAACGAGAGGAAATACTTAAATATTTGTGAATTTATTTATTTATTTTCTAGATATTTATTTTCTACTTGTTTTTACAACTAAAACCTGGGGAAACAAACCCACCCTTTTCCCCAATAGATGAACTAACAAAAAATCTTTATATTTATGAAGAGGGTTGTTTATCTTTATCAAAAATACATAAAATAACACATTTTTAAAATTTTGGAACACAACTTTGCTAATCTAACAACTAAAGTCCAGAATTGCTTGATACGTTTTTTCAAAATAATAACTGCATTTTTGTCAGAAACCCATCGGTTCAGGTACGGATTTTGCGTGCATTTTCTGTTAGTTTATAAACAAAATAAATTACGTAATCGTTTTTGACAAACTTATGATTACTTAATTTGACATCTAAAACCTAGCGTTGTTATTTTGTACAGGAAATGGTAAATAAAACCACGAAAGGAATAGAGTTCTTGCAACAACTCAGATTTTATAATCTCTATATATTTGCAAATGCACCCCAATGTCGTAAACCTTTGATATTTCAAACTATGAATTCTATTAGATGTAGTAATCCAAGAAGGAAAAATCTAAGGTTTGCACCACCAGGTTGCAAAGAATTGGGATTAGAAAATTTGAGACTAATTTCTTTACAAGAAGTCAGGATTTTCTGACAAAACCGCTGAAGTAATTTTGACTGAACTTATCAAATCGTTCAGGCCATCGATAATTTTTTCGAGAAATTGGCTTAAAATGTTCCAAATTCTTAAAATTGAGATAACTGTGTATTTTGAAAAAAGTGAACAATTCCTTTAATTGGCAAAGGGGAAACCAAAAAAAGGGCACCATGTACTGTTAACACAACGAATATTTAAACTGATATTGTAAATAATCAGCATTCAGCAAGCAGTGCCCTTTATAACAATCAAGCATAACCACCTAGAATACTTCAAATTTAACATGAGAACAGTTTAATAAACAAGGTTGGGACATACTGAACTAAAGATCGGAGAATAGAACCGTCTCTGATAGATAGGTTTACTCATACCACACCAGCTCTAAACCGGGATCATATTATTAATTTATCTTAACCGTGATCTACAGTCAGGATGGAATAGTTATTATAATACTCCTAGTTAGTAGAACTAAAGGTTTCTAGTTCTCCGTTTATACACAGGGGATACTGAGTATAGAATAGGGCTGGCAAAACTCAAGTGTATTATATGCAGTATTCTGTAAACTTTAAAAATTTGAAAATTAAAATAATCATTTCATAAACACTAGTCGACGATCAATAAAAACTCGGACTTAGTCCCATTCCTTATTTCTTGGAACTGTTTTGATTAAATGTTGATATAGTTTTGAAACAGAGTAAGGAGTAATATTTTCAATATGAAGTAAACAGAGTATGTACATTCAATTTGTCTAGCTAAATCAAAACATGGGGAAACCTGGATATATTGAGTTAAACTGAACCTTTCCACATTTAAACCTGGATATACTGGAGTAAATTAAACCTAGGCATGTTTAAACCTGGATGTACTGGAGTAAATTAAACCTAGGCATGTTTAAACCTGGATGTACTGGAGTAAACTGAACCTTTGCATGTTTAAACCTGAATATATCATAGAAACTGAACCTATACATAAATAAACCTGGATATACTGGAGTAAACTGAACCTTTGCATGTTTAAACCTGAATATATACATAAATAAACCTGGATATTCTGGAGTAAACTGAAACTATACATGTTTAAATCTGGATGTACTGGAGAAAACTGGACCTTTGCATGTTAAAACCTGAATATATCATAGAAACTGAACCTATACATAAATAAACCTGGATATACTAGAGTAAACTGAATCTATACATGTTTAAACCTGGATGTACTGGAGTAAACTGGGCCTTTGCATGTTAAAAACCTGAATATATCATAGAAACTGAACCTATACATGTATACACCTGGATATACTGGAGTATATTGAATCTATAAATGTTTAAACCTGGATGTACTGGAGTAAACTGGACCTTTGCATGTTTAAACCTGAATATATCATAGAAACTGAACCTATGCATAAATAAACCTGGATGTACTGGAGTAAACTGAACTTCTGCATGTGTAAACCTGAATATATCATAGAAAACTGAACCTCTACATAAAAAAAAACTTGGATAAACTGGAGTAAACTGAATCTATACATGTTTAAACCTGGATGTACTGGAGTAAACTGAATCTATACATGTTTAAACTTTTATATACAATAGTAAATTGAACCTATAAATGTTTAATACTGGATATCATGGAGTAAATTGAAACTAAGGATGTTTAAACCTCAATATATCATAGAAACTGAACCTATACATGTATAAACCTGGATATACTAGAGTAATTTAAACCTTGGCATGTTTAAACGTGGATGTACTGGAGTAAACTGGACCTTTGCATGTTTAAACCTGGATATATCATAGAAAACTGAACCTATGCATAAATAAACCTGGATATACTAGAGTAAACTGAATCTTTACATGTTTAAACCTGGATGTACTGGAGTAAACTGGACCTTTGCATGTTTAAACCTGGATATATCATAGAAAACTGAACCTATGCATAAACCTGGATATACTGGAGTAAGTTAAACCTAGGCATTTATAAACCTGGATGTACTGGAGTAAACTAAACCTATACATGTTTAATGCTGGATATCAAGGAGTAAACTGAACCTATGCATGTTTAAACCTGGATATACTGGAGTAAACTGAACCCAAACATGTTTAAACCTGGATATACTCGAGTAAACTGAACCCATACATGTTAAAATCTGGATATACTGGAGTATACTCAACCTGTGCATGTTTAACCCTGGATATTTTGTAATAAACTGAACCTATGCATGTTTAAACAATCTTTTTAAGAAGACTTATTTTTGACTAAACTAAAACTTTCTTGATGTATATCCGGAGAACTAGACCCTAATAATTTTCTAATTTTATTTCTAGTTTTCACTATTTTCAATTTCACAACAAATCTTACGCTTGAAATAGACAAATATTGAGCACACTCGTCTAGTTTAAGTTTAAGATACTGTACTCTGAAGCAACATTGATCAATACTTTTATCCGACTAATCCACTTAACTATAGTGTAGGTTTAGGTAGGTTAATTATACTTACATCACTCCGAGGACTTAAAACCTCATTGATAGTGCTGGCAAAATAGATCAGTTAGTATTATTGGATTATCATTGAAGTTAATTAGCTAGATAAGAAAGAACTTGCATGTAGGATTAATTAAAAAACATTAAATGTTAGTATTTTGATTATCAAACAGTTAATTATTTTCACTGTAAAGTATCCTGATAAGAAAACTAAAAAAAATTTCCCCTCGACCAAGGTGCCCGTGAGTAAACAATATTCAATTAACCCTGAGATTGACGAAGACCCCCCGTGAATAAATAAAATTATATAAAACAGGTTTAGCACGCCATCTATCTTACTTTAAATGAGTTCTCCGCATAAACTGTTGAATCTTCCTCGCTGCTTGGTTCTGCCTACGCTGACAGATGGTTCGCCTGAACAGATTCAGCATTTAGGAAACAGTTGGACACTTTTCAATGGAAAGAAAGATCTTAAAGGGACTGTAAGTGTAATTTCAAGTTACCATCCATGCAAATATGGCAATGCCCGATTTACAACGATACCCTCAAAGGTTTTGTATGATCAAGTATGTTTTTATTTACATAAACTGAGATGGAATTTAAAGAATTTGACCCGCGGTTTAAATCCGCCAAAACCCGGTTTAAATTAAGCGCCGGCTTAAATCTTAAAACATTTGATATAATTTTAAGTGGCACCAACCATATTTAAACCGCGGCTTAAATTTAAACCGCCGATCAAATTCTTTAAATTCGGCCACTGTTTATTTTAATATGTGGTTTATCTGCAAAAGTAGTTTGCGCATTTCTTGCTTACTAGAAACAATAGAGAAATTCACAGAAATAAATAGTTTTGAGGTCAGAAAAACGACGTTATCTTCCACATTTTGATCAGATTGGGGTTATAATGGTACAGTTGTATATCTTGAAATGACGGCTACAGTCCCTTTACTCAATCCCGGGAAGAGGAATCTATCTCGAATTATGATTTCTAGACAAAAAGAGATCAGGTTTTATCCGTCCATAAAAGATCTCATTAATAAATCAATTTCCAAACACCTTATGTCATGATTTTCATAAAAATCTTACTTGAAACCAGAAGTTGGTGTTCCTTCCTTCTCCTCTGAGTTCCTTTTCCTAGTTCTTCCTTGATCCCTGTAGTTCCTGTAGTAGGTCTGGATACAGGTGGCAGCTTCCTCGTTCTTCCTGAACCTCTTGTGCTCGCAGTAGTTTCTGTAGTTCTTCTGGATCACACTAGCAGCGGCCGCCATCTGCTTCCAGTAGCAATACTACAACATTCAGGCCATACAGATATATCACAAAATGGGGAGCTAAAGTATTATATGGGCCCAGAGTTGAAAACTAATGAATGTGTGTTCAATTCAACTATTTGCTATGAAAAATATTAAAATATACGAAATTTGAACAAATCTAACGCCTCAAAATCCAAATAGGGAATCAGAAAATCAAAAAAAAAGTTTTAAGCATTAAGATTGTTAAACTATCAAACCCTACAACTAGTTCAATTATACTTAATAAAAATGTTTTTTATAAATATAAAAGTATGTTATCATGTTGTTATTTTATGTCTCCAGGGACAGGTATTAAAATAGAAATTTAGTATTTTACAGCAATTATATTTCATGGTTTATTGAAGATTCCCCTCCTCCGCCCTCTCTTCTAATAGGAGGTTAACCGTCCCTGCGGGACTACTGAGAATTATTAAAAGAAAACATTGAACAGATTTCTCCAGGATAAACAAGAAACCCCTGATCAATCCGTCCTGAACCATCCGTCTTGTTTTCCTGGTGGTTACCACCAATTACAAGCCTGGGTTCACATTCAAATATAATAAAATATTTGAACGACGGTAGAACATGATATATGTAAATGGAGGAATTCAGAAGATTTATTTCTATTAGGGGGGAGGGAATAATTCATGTAAATATCGAACCTGCTTATATCTCCGGTAATAGTTTTGAATAAGAACAGCAGCTCGTGCTTCCTTCTCCGTCTCCTCGTCCAACCTTCCTTCCTCACACTCACTCTTCTTCCGTCCTTTATACGATCTAAACAAGGTTGGGGTTATCCAGGAGTAATGGTGCATTGGGATAGAGCTTAACCGAAAACAGCTTAAGGAAGCAACGTGTTAGATTTATCATACATAAGAGTATATAGTGTGTTTTTGATGTTGTTTTACAAAGCAATTAGTTTTTCAGTAGCTTAAAAAACAACGTATTAAGTGAAAGAGGATTGTGCTAACTGAACAATTAATGTGTTATATGTTCATAGGACCATTTAAAGTTATGACTTTATTCCAACAGTCGTCTTCCTATTCCACAGTTCTTTGTGCCCCTATGTAAATACCCTGAGTAAGACTACCTGTAAGCCTTCTGTATGATCTGAGCTGCTTGATACAGCTCCCTCTGCTCCCTTTCATTGAGAGTAAGGTTGGATAGGTCCTTCTCACACTTAGCCTGGAGTAAACAGTTTCAGATTATTTAAAAAATCAAGGTTTGAATATTTCAAGGATTAAACTGACCGTAAAACTAAATCATCAAAAACGATCTTTTAAACTAGAAGTTAAGATTGATTTTCTTCAATCATCTACGGTAAGAATGATTTAAGGAAAGGTTGGAAACTAAATCCTTGTCAAATATTCTCCTTGTTCTCCGGATATAAGAAAATACTTGAGTCAGGGTGGGGACAGAAAACTGGTCGGGTGGGAGCGGGAATGCTCCGGGTACAACTGTTGACTGAATATTTTCTGGAAACTAGTTCAGGACGGAGTAAAGCATTGATATTTATCGCTTCATTGGCTCTCAAACTCAGGAAGTTTCAATTTCAATTTTCCAATGAGAATATATTATCTTTGAGGAGGAATATAAAACATACAACACTACACAATTTATTCTTAAATAAATCAAAATCATATTTGAAGAGTTTTAAAAACTTTTAAACTATATTCAACGATATGGAGATTATCAGAAAACTTTTAGACTAACTTCTCAAATATGTTAAAAATGAGCACGGGAAATTAAAAAGAAACTTTTAAAGGGACAGTCAACATAATTTTAAACAATCCTTCAAAACAGCAGCTATTACAATTCAGCTCAGAACTATTTAACCCTCTGACTGATAACTTGCGATCGTTGTTTATATACTAAAGTGATTTTAAATTTATTTTTACAGCAGAAAAGCAAATAAACTTCAGATAAGAAGGGTGACGTTAAGAATAAATTGTTGGCCATCTTCACTGAAGGATAATTAAAAACAAAATAAATAATTTCTAAAACAGTCATTTTCTAAAATAATTTTACCTGAAGGAACTCGCTGAGCCCGGCTGTGGTTGGAGCGGATCTAGGATCAAAGCAGAAGGTTAGATTAGGACTTGGAGAATCTTGAAGAGCAGACCGAGGAGACTCTACGGAGAAGGATGCTGGAGATAAACTCGAGTTTGGAGTTACTGGATCTCTGTAACTGAAAATAAATCATTCATACGAGCAATGGAAAATTAACATGAATATTTAATAATAATAGAAAATTAGTTATGAAAGTTTTACAACCTAAAACTTTCTCATGAGGTTTTTATAATGTAATACAATAACTACATAGACATTAATTTTATTCAACAAATCATGAAATTTCAATTCCATCAAAAAATTATTGAAAAGTAAATTGTACCAAGGAAATATTCAAACATTTCATATGAAAAAAAAATATATAAAATGATGATAAAAATGTAAATAATTTTACCTGTGACAAGCTTCTTCAAAGTTAAATTCAAAATCAACACTTTGATCATCTGCCATTGATTCTACACCGAGATCTTCAGAACAACAGTCAGCTCCTCCAGCACTATAGCACTCAATACCATCCATAGATTCATCATCATCATCAATGCTAGTAGTGTCGAACTTTATCCTGTCCGGCATAGCAGCAAGAAACTGCTCTGCCAGGGTAAACACCTTCTCCTCGTCTTCCGTATCCTGAATGTCGTCGTCGTTCTCATCTTCACTGCTTACACCCTCGATATCAATGATTGGGGATCCGGGACAATCACAGGAACAGCTGTTCTCAGTTTCTAAAAATTAATCAATTCAAAAAAAAAATAAAATCTGGGAAAATATCCAGGGATAAAATAGTTTCGACCAAAGCTTACGTTTTTCCGGTCCCGTTGGTAGAATTTTGTAAATAGTTATATTCTCGTGAGAGTTGAGAGTTCTCTGGAACCCGGAGCAAGGTAGAGACAAACTTCTGTCATTCCTACAAAAGATTCAGCATTAACCTCAAACTTGAGAAAGAATGAAAGATTGTTGAGATATTTCGAGAGAAACATGTTGTTAACATTGAAGAATGAATTGTAAGGTTTGATGATTCAGGACAAGTTGAATGTCTTACTTTGAAAGTTGTCTGGCCTCCTTGTGATTGGTTTTGACAGGTTGCATATCTATATTGATACCGGAGTCTACCGAGGGTCTCTTGCTTTGTTTAAGTTTCCTCTGTTTAGTTTGTGCCGGAGATCCAGCTCGGAGAGAACGCACGCTGGCAGAGACAGATCTTAGTCCAGGACTTCGGAGCGGACTTGGACTTCGTCTAGTAGATCCAGGAATACTCAGATATCCTTCCAAACTTGGTGCTCGAACAATCCTTCTAATAAATTTGTTTCCGGGCTTTAGGAACTCGGGCTTGGTCTCCTTTCCATGTTTGGAAACTGAGCAAGAGTCAATTTGCTGATTTTTCTTCATCCTCTCCATCTTCTCCAGCTCCTCCTTGAACTGAGGACACCTGGATCCTCCAGCAACCTCAGCACAGGTTTGCCCCTGCTTGTTCCTCATTGTTGCTGCTGTAGAGTTCCAATGGTAGAGTATGGTTGCAACCTCTCTCCGTCCCTCTCTACATGCCAACATCTAAACATGATGAATTAACCCAATAAACATGGTTCCACAAGAACACTCTGTAACATTTGCAAGTTTTCATCTTAATATACAACGGTACAAGGAACTTTACACAAATAAATTGTATATTAAAACTAAAATAGAAATGTTAAATCGTTAAAAGTAATTGTAACAACACAAAAATAGAACTTTAAGACATTTACTCAATATCAAATGTATATAAAAATACCATTTTTATTCACATTACGCTTGTATGATTTGAAAGTAGAAATTCGAGCCTTAACAAAATGTTCACAAAACCTTCACGATCTTAGATAAGAATCAGTTGAAACTGTTTCACGAAATATGTGTCCCCGACTAGAGAGAGAAAACTAACCAGGAAATAATTTCTAATGTAAAGCCAGAGCAATTCTCAAACCTTGAATAAAATTAAATAGCATGTCTCTACTCCCAAGTCTGTAACTACCATTAACTTTTCTTCCTTAATGTGCTCCAGTAGCATTTAAAATCCTAGATATCATCTAATTACGGAAAGGTTTATCCGTAGCTCAGAACCTTAAGATACTGGAGTTTTCCTCAAACTTTCAATCCCAATCCAAACCTAATATTAAGCTTTAACTTCAAAACCATTGATAAAATTAGATACCATTTTTTTACTTTAATGTCAAATTTTGAAAAATATCGTATTTTAATGTCAACCCTTAAAGATTTGCGACCAAACCTTTCGAAGATTAAGCCTTCAAGCTTAATATTAAGACTTCAAGCTTAAGATTAAGCCTTCAAGTTTTAAATCAAACCTTTAAGATTAAAGATAAAACCTTCAAGATTAAGATTAAACCTTTTAATCTTGAGATCAAACTTACAAGATCTAAGCTCAAACCTACTTTTTAGTTTGTACAAAAAAAACTTTTAAGATTAAAAAAACAATTAACAATCACCCTTTTAACGTTTTAAGACATCCTGTTGAGTAAGAAAGGAAAATATTCAAGAGTAGAAGAAATATTAAGCTCAAAATGTAAATTGTAGAATATAGATGCAATAATTAGAATCATGAATAGAATAGAATTTACTGGAGCAAACAAGAATTAGTAATATCTAATTACCAGTGGAGTGTATCCTAGTCCATCCTTAGCTAGAGCATCCACCTCTCTTCCTATCCTCTTCCCAGGACGCTCTGCAGCCCAGTGGAGTAGGGAGCAGACTAACCTGCTCAACCCTAGGCTAGCAGCTAGGTGGAGAATACTCTCCTCTGTATCAGAATCCAACCCGTCACTCCTCGTTTTCATACCACCTCCCTCCTCTCTCATCTTGATTCCCCCCAACCCCTTCTCCCCCCACTCATCTGTCGTCAGTTTTTGGCACATTGTCACCAACTGGTCTTCAAACTCGGTAAAGTTTTCCTGTAAAATTAGAGTCTGACCGTGGCAAGACTGGTAATTATGGAGAGGAAAGGAATCTACAGCTGACAATTCTTGAAAATATTCTTTAAATATAAATTCTCTAGTGTGGGAAACTGGGATAGAATAATAGGAGAAGATAAAATTTGATGTTTATAACGCCGGGTTGAGAGGAGGAATTGAAAATGATTTTCCTAGTTGTCAAACCCAGGGCGGATGGAAGGAATTACCTCATAAATCTGCTGAACCTGCTCCAAGGAGCATATTTCTAGCTTCTCCAGTTTACTCAGTAGGCAGCGTTTCAGATCCAGCTCACTCCTTCCTCGGCTAGAATCCATGGTATCAAACTCCTTGAAAGGTTGGAGCCTGGATCCAGGATTGGCTAAGTTCGGCTTGTATTTGAATATCACAGGTTTACATATCACAGTTTCGCCGCAAGCAACTTCAATTTTAACATCTCCAGCGGGATGGTCTAAACAAAAGTAAAATTTCAAAGGGATTTTTAAGGTATGTTGGGTAATATAGGCGGTAACAAAAGTATAGCATATGAATAATCCCTTTATTCTCATCATTACTGAAGTTTTATTGTATATCTATACCTGGGCAGTAGCATCTAAGAACTCCACTCTGGACCAGGGTTGTTGGGACGGGTTCTCCGTCAAACAAGATCTGATAAACCGAAGACTGGCTGTACCAGGGACCAGTGATCAAAACCTTTTCTTGACCCTGAAATACAGGATTAGACATGCTCTCAGACCCAGGACCTAGCTAGGAGGGACACTATATAGAGATATAACAGAGTCCTGATTCTGTTAAAGTTTCATTTATCTGCTAGGTTTTGAAGACTGGAAGTCGAGAATAAAATAACCTGAAAGTGTCTACTCACAAGGTGCGCTGCATTTTAGTCCTTTAGAGCAATAAGACTGGCTGAAACTTATTCATTCATTTATATAATACGAGACAAAGCAAATAATTTGATGCAATCAATATTCCTTATGTTTATAAGTATGTATAAATATGTATAAAGAAATAAATATGAAAATAGCGAAATAAAAATAATTTTGCTTAATCATGTTTAAGCTTGATTCAACTACTACCTTACAAGAGCGAAAACAGTACTTACGTCAGTGTAGGACCAGGAAGGAGAATAGTCTGTGATGGTAACCAGGTTCTCCCTGTACTCCAGGGTTCGGGTTTTGATTGTTGCTCCAATATGGGAGTTAACGTTAGTAGCAGCCTGAGATAGCATGGGTCCAGGATGTCCACTGTTAATTAGTCCGTTGGATCCACCCTCGTAATGGGCCAGCTCAGGGAAGTCGGAAAGGATATCAAAGGCGTCCAGGTTCACGTCGAAGGAGTTGTGATGAGCCTGTTGGTTTGGATCCTGGTACTCCATGGAGTTGAGCTGATGGTGTTGATGATGCCGAAGGGCCTGCTGGTGTTGATGATGAATCTGACGAGCCTGCTCACTGCAGGACGGTAGGTTCGCGGACAAGGTTCGGTGCAGGTCATCATGAGTGAGATCTAGGGTTTCATGAATGAAGGACATATCGTTCTTGTTCTCCAGGTCGCTGAAGGCAGACTTGAAGTCCAACAAGGGTCCGTGGTCAGATTCTGACTTAATACTTTCCTCATCCGACTTCCGGGACTCAGATCCGGAGAGTAAACTATCCGTGACAGGTTGTAGCCCTGAGTATCCTGTATCAAAGTTCCCGTTGTTAAGGTCTAAACTGAACTCATGTATGTTGGTAAGCGTGTTGACTGCAGCGCTCACACTCCCAACCTCTCCTCGTGTAGCTGAGGATATATCTGCCTCACATGAGCTGATGAGGGGGCGGGGGGAGGGCGTGTTTGTGATAGGCGGAGATATTTGCCGGTTGTAAGGAGACATACTAGATGTGGTTGAGGTTGGACCGGAGTTTGAGTTTAGGATGACCAGCCCAGCGCTACCCTGCAGCTGGGAAAGAGAGAGCACAAGGGGAGTGTGTCCTCTACTCGGAGTAGAATGTCCCGAACCCGGAGAATGTCGTTCTCCTCCCAGCATCATTCCATGGTTCCCAGTCGTGGAGGAGACCTGGGAATAATTGGAACTCTCTGGATAATACCTATGGTCAGTCTCAAAAAACTTTGGGGAGAAAAAAAAGCAAGATTAGTGAGTGGAAAACAGGTTTTTAAATAATTTTTATTAATTACAATTCCTACCTGGTTCATGTTTTCTAAATGCCGGTGATGGCCTCCTCCTCCGCCTCCTCCTCCACCTCGACTACCCCGACTACGATGATGCGTACCAGGATGCATCTCAGGTTTAGTCGCCTTAAAAAAGCATAAAAACTTTTTCTTCTAATTAATACAGATTTAATGAACTTTTTATCCCGCATCAATGTTGAAAATCCATGAAGTTTATTTATGAATTATTGGATTGCAGGTATTTCTAGTTGTACAGAGTTAACCACAAAGGAAGTAACTGTAAAGACGACTTAAACTCGTTCAAATATGAAGATCCCAATTTTAAATAAAGTTACTGCTTTTAATGACGTCTTTAAATGGTTTATTTCTTATTATTAGCAGACAATCCATTATTCAATGATTTGAAAGGAAGAATGAAGTCCTTAGCTGCATGCAGGCAATCATATATATACAGTCGTCTCTGAAGTCGCATCCTTTGTGGTTAACCCTGTACTACCTGATGTACACAAGTTTTACTGTCTAGGCAGGTTGAGATGTACTATCTGATAGTCTAGGCAGGTTGAGTCCGGACATGAACACTCCATGTGTCCAAGGGTTCTAGCAGTTCTCTGTTTCTCCAGCAGCTGAACCACGATAGCTTCAACTGTCTCGGCAGTCTTAAAACAGAAAAATTAAAATCTGTTCTGTATACTTGCAACTTTCAATGCAGTAGGAACCAGGAATTCTTGTCGTTTTCTTTAAATATTTCTAATATGGGAGTAATGATTTTATAATTTTAAAGGAATTGAGTCATTGCCATAAACTCAAATATTATAATTCCTATATCTTTGCAACCTGATTATTTGATCTAAAATAATTCACAGTTTGAAATATCTAAGATCTCCGACTTTGGGTTGCAAATATATAGGGATTAAAAAATCAGAGTTAATGGCAAGACTGAACTTCTGTGAAACGAAACTATTTCGAAAAAATACCCTGAACATGATCCTAACCAACATTTCCTGGTTCTCAATGTACATCTGCTTTATAACAAAAGATAAATGTATTCTTAAAAATCTTTCCAACAACAGAATAAGTTAAAAAGTAAAATTTCTGATTAGAATTAAAAACGAGAGGAGTTTGTATTGTAGTGAATAAACTAAGTTTGTCTAACTTTGTAGAATAACGAGGAATATTTTCCCAGGTGGAGAGTTCAGTAGAGTTGGAGTTTACCCAGAGAATAGGAATATTCAGGGTTTATGGAAATTGGGAGTTTATCCTAATGTGCGGGGAGGGTGGTGGAGAAAGTCCAGTTCTTGTTTTCTTATATTTACTATTTATATTTAAACGCTTAAAATATATTCTATTGAGGGTTTAAAAGGACTGACACCGTGATTTCAATGGCTCTCTTTTTACTTTTAATCTTTAACAGATAAATTCTTTTCTTGTCTTTGCAGCAGAAATCCGCAAACAAAGGTTTAAGTGGTATCGGGCAGATAGTTATTTAAGTCACTTACCGAGATCTCCATCTCGCTGTTAATATCTGGTTCCTCTTCACTGAAGACTGAAATACAAAATAATGAAATATAGTTCCGACACTGTTTGTCGATTTCAACTGACAAATTTGATTGAAACACGATATTCTCTCCTGAAATTTTATTTCCCGCTTTAAATTTTTTAGAATTTCTTAGAAAACGTATTTTAAGATTTTCCCATTGTTTTCAGGATTAATTTAAAAGTTCATCATGATAAAATGAAAGTTGCTAAACCAACAGATTCATTCCTTTGACTTCTTTAACATCTTAAAATAAAAGAACAGGAGAGCGGGGGGAGAAAGGGGGGGAAGGGGGAGAAAGGGAAGAAGGGGGTGAGGGGAGAAGGAGGGGGGAAGATATGGGGGAAGAAGGAGAGGAACAAGAGAGGGATTATTAGTTAGGTTTTCTGTCATCTCAGCTTGATAAAAGGAGAGTAGGTAGGATGAAAAGAGAAGTATGGGTAGAATAAAACGATGATAAAAACTGTGTTATGAAGACGGTTTGAGTATTGAAGTTCAAGAGAGCGAATATAAGTAATGATGCTTGTGTGTATTATAAATGCTTTGAAAATATTTCATCTTTGAATAAGATTCCAGTATTCCAAGCTTAGAACCTAATTCTAAACTATGAAATCTGAATAAGATAAAGCTCACATTTGGCTGATAGTGATAGATAGATACAATTGGTATAAAGAGAAAGAGAGAGAAGAGACAGATGCATGGAGAGAGAAGGATGAATATATCATTGTTTTTGTACGTTAAAGCTGGACACTGAAAAGTTTTGTTCTACTCCACTGAGGACGGATTCCATCAAACAATCATTCAAAAATCATTACAAATTCAAGAAATCTTTTTATCAACTCTTCATATTTGTCCATTTCCATCCCAGCCCATAAACTGAAGGGAAAATATTGAAATAAGAATAAAATTGATTCATAAAAATAAAGTTGTTTGCAAACCATTGATATAAACCCATATACATTGGAGGAAACCATTGATATAAACCCATATACATTGGAGGAAACCATTGATATAAACCCATATACATTGGAGGAAACCATTGATATAAACCCATATACATTGGAGGAAAACTCCGTCTAGATAAAAACGGACAGTTTTCGACTTACACATTGGTTTCAGCTGAGACACCAGCTCCTCCTTCGTCCACTCCTTCTTGTCTCCCCAGAGACTAACGGAGTTGGTCACCAGCAGCTTGTTGTCGTCAGGGTAGGGGACATTCAGGTAGTGTACCAGTACAATATCAGGGTTCTACAATATCAGGTAGTGTATCAGTACAATATCAGGGTTCAACAATATCAGGTAGTGTATCAGTACAATATCAGGGCTATACAATATCAGGTAATGTATCAGTACAACATCAGGGCTATACAATATCAGGTAGTGTATCAGTACAATATCAGGGCTATACAATATTAGGTATTGTATCAGTACAATATCATGTAGTGTATCAGTACAATTATCAGGGTTCTACTATGTCAGGTAGTGTACCAGTACAATATCAGGGTTCTACAATATCAGGTAGTGTACCAGTACAATATCAGGGTTCTACAATATTAGGTAGTGTATCAGTACAATATCAGGGTTCTACTATATCAGGGTTCTACAATATCAGGTAGTGTACCACTACAATATCAGGGTTCTACAATATTAGGTAGTGTATCAGTACAATATCAGGGTTCTACAATATCAGGTAGTGTACCAGTACAATATCAGGGATCTACAATATCAGGTAGTGTATCAGTACAATATCAGGGTTCTACTATATCAGGTAGTGTATCAGTACAATATCAGGGCTATACAATATCAGGTACAAAATTATTTAAATAAATGTATTAAAAACTAAACAGTGTTTCATTATTAAAAGTTTTTAATATCAAAATTAGAATATATTTATAATTTATAATTGTGTGTTTAAACTTGGTTAAAGAATACCAAATGCAGACTTAAATCATTTATGGAAATAAAATGGAGAATAAAAAATATATATAAATTATTGTTACATTGTAAAAAGTACATGCAGGGAGTGTATCAAATATTATGTACAATGTACAAAGTAGGTTTACATTCAGTATACAGGATACAGGATATACCGGGATTGGTTTTATTTCTCATTTCCGTTCTCGGCTAGCCTCGCAATATTTAGATAATTCATTGTATCAACATTAATTACAACAGATTATTGGGTCCCATTCCGCCCTTTTTATTTATTTTTATCATTTTCTTTAGGTAACACAATTTTATGCTGTTTTGGAAATAATTTACTATCTATTTATGTTATTGTATTGGGTATTATTTCATGCGAAAAAGTTTTTGCCAGGATTTTTACTACTACTTTTTTGCACGCATGATACCCATTTCAATAACATATATAGTTTTATTCAATTTTACTCAAAATCACCATGTTGTAGGTTGATTAAGTAACTTTATCACCCTAAAATGAGACAAATTAGGTATGAAATTTGAAATTTTAATAGCAGGGTGAAAAAGTTACTTTTTCGCCCTGTTGTAGGGCGGTAAAGTCACTTAATCACCCTAGAGCGGGAAATATTAGGTGTGATAAATTCCATCAAAATTGAAAAAAGTTATTATTATTTGATATTTCCCAGTAAAATTTTCTACCGTCATTCATCTTCCCTCCTCTCTCATTCCTTCTCCTTGATCTTTCTTTCTTATCCATCTTCTCTCTTCTCTCATACCTTCTCCTTAAACCTTCTTTCTTATCCATCTTCTCTACTTTCTCATACCATCTACTTTATCCTTCTTTCTTATCCATCTTCCCTACTCTCTTCTACTTTCTCCTTTATCCTTCTTTCTTATCAATCTTCCCTTTTTCTCTCCCATTCTTTCTCCTTTATCCTTCTTTCTTATCCATCTTCTCTCCTCTCTTATACCTTCTTCTTTATCTTTCTTTCTTATCCATCTTCCTTTTTTCTCTCCTATTCATTTTCCCCACCCTCTCCAATTCCGTCTCCTTGCTTATTATTCTTGTTCCCATCCTCTCCCATTCCTTCTTCTTCTCTTTTCCCATTCCTTCTCTTTTCCCATTCTTTCTCATTCTTGTCTAAATCCTCTCCCATTACTTTTCCTTGTCCTTTCTTATTGATCATTACTCTAACCCTTTCCCATTCCTTCTCATAACATCTCCATTTCTTTCTATAAAATTCTCATTTCTTCAGGTTTGAAGAAAAATCTAAATGAACTGAACTTGAAAAATAAATCTCAGGATTTCTAAACACAGAGAACCGACTGAAACGTAAATCTTAAGTTAAACCCAAATAAGGTAATGGTTTAATTGGTTAATGACGATCTAACATATTTTCCACAAGTAAAAATTGTTCCATTCCGACATTATTTTTTTCAAATTATTTATGAAACGTTTAAAAAATATAAGAATCTTAATTCTTATAAAAACTAGCTCCTGTATCTCTTATTTACTTAAGCACTAGAATAATACCTTGAGAAGTACCAGTAATTGTATAAACAAATCAATCTTTACCAGATCTTATCTATCCTAACCCTAAGCTTTTCATCTCCAAGAGCAAAATATACAGGACTACTGATTTACATCAAGAAAAACATACAAAATCATATGCATCACTTCTCAGTATCATACAAAAATACAATGCGAGATCAACTCTAGCATAGTTTAAAACTAATTCATAAATGTATGTTTTTCGATGTACAATAATAATAGGCTTGGTAAGGTCAATATGTAGTATACAATGTGGGCATATATGTAGACAACGAGATCCTAAACACGACAAAGAATATACGACAAGACCCCCCCCCCAGCCCCCAATCTTTGTTTACAAAAAGGAAAACTGCAGCTTCTGAAAAGAAAATAAACAAGATAAGAGCTGTATTCACTAAGTTTTTGTTTAGACTCCCATAACCTGTTGTGTACTTCTTGTTTTAAGGAAATTTTTTTTTTATGTTCCTTGTGTATTTTCCTAGGATTGGAATACTCTTACCTGTAACAACCAATAGCAACGTCTGTGGAAGGTGGGTAGGATTGCAGAATGAACATAACACCCGTATATACACTAAAAATATTCATTTTAATTTTCTAAACTTTTCTAAAACTCAAAAAACCTAAAAGTTACTAGGATTACTCTACCAGGCCGGTTTGATACATGTTCCCTCTGACAATATTGAATGGGACGCAATTTCTCAAATTCTCCTCGGTACAGACAATAATCCATCTTTCTCTGACAAACTAGCGTCTTCTTATCCTAGATATTTCTAAACCAATAATTCAATATGTTCCCGTATACACAAGGCACCCGGAGCTAACACAAGAACTTGACTACATCGAGATAACTACAAAAAGGCGGAAAGGAAAATGGAATCTCTGAACTATTTGGAACAACAAAGACTGATAAGGATATGATTAAGGGCATATTATTGCACCAATGTATGGTTAACCAATACACAACTAGATGTGAAAAAGAATAAAATATTGGAATGTCGATATTAAGGATCCAGGGAGGATAAGAATGAGTAAAAGAAAATTGATTTAGGGTGAGCTCGGAGAACTTTAGATAAAGATCTTCATGATACAGTTTAGACAAGGACCAGAGAGTTTAAAAGATGGAATGATAATAATGAGTAATTGTAAAAGAAAGATACAAAAATTGAAATATATGCCGCACTTCCTAGAAAAGGGGGACGGGACGTCCCCCAGGAAAAAACTAAGAAAATCCGGGACAGCCTTTAACCCCTTAAATTAAATTTTAAGCGGCACCACTAAGTCAGTCAAAATTTAGTTAATTTATATTTTTTTCCAGGATAAATTCTCGGTGCACTTTCGTAAAATTCAAAACCACTCTGAGATATACCTTATTGATTAAGATATAGGAATTGGATTATACAGAAATCATTGAGGAGATATAGCACTTTATATAGAGATAAGGTGAGATATGTTAAAGAAGTTCTTAGATCGACAAGTTGGATAAAAGCAAGATTATTGAGTGCACAAAAGTTGAAATCCAGTTATCTGTATATACTTGTAAATAGAACCAAGTTAGTCAAAGTTCAAGATAAATAAAAAAGGATTTCAATTAAACTTTGGTATAAAATATCCTCACCTCCATTCCCTGGACCTTGAGCTTCATGTGGTCCTCTCTCGTCGTCTTTCCGTCCTTTCTCTTCTTCCAGCAGTATCCGTCCCTCCTGTACCTAACCTTCTTCCTGGAGTAGAGCAGCATCGAACCAGACTTGGGTCTAAAAAAACAAAATGTCGTATCAATAAGAACGGATCACGGAAGTGGAAACATCTATTTTCTGTTAAACAAGAAAAATAAAATGTCGGAAATATTTTATAACAAATTTACTTTTGATTGTATTTTAAAGTAAAAAGTGTTTTGTCCCATACACGATCAAATCTTTTGTGTCAGAAAAACGTTGTCTGATATTATAAAGATAAATATATTGATATATATTTATATATATCGGGAAACATGAAAACCTAAACAAGTTAACTGTATTTACAAACATTAAAAGAAATAATAATCTTCAAATCTCCAGATCAAAGAAAAATTAAAAATAAACAAAAATAGGAAAAATACGATCAAAGGCCCGAGTTCTGCAGCTGCAACAAGTAAATGTTTTGATCAACTATTAGACATCGAAATGATTCATGCCCCAAGTACTTTCACTCTTTTTAAATGTCCCCTCCCCTTTTTTTGACAAACTGGATCTCCTATACTCTAAACCCCTCTTTTCTCTGTATTCCCATGTTTTCTATTGTTCTAAATTTTGTTGAAAAGAAATTAGTTTAACAAAAGGTTTTGATAAAACTAATTTTAATGAATTCAACAGAAGCGTTCTAAAAAACTAATATCTCCCAGAACTTCTAAACGATGCAAAGTTAAATGTGACTAAAATTGTAAATACTAAATACCCCCCCCCCCACAAAACAAATGCGATGCATTTATCAAAACAGGTAGAACGATATGGATTTAAAAAGTCGAAATGTCGTTTTAGTATTTCTTATGTTTTGACCAGCCCTGTCTAAGAACATATCTCACCTGATTTTCACCTCTTTAGACATCCAATCGTGGTGTTTATCGAAGGCGATTAACATTGATGCAATTTCCTAAAAATGTGAAAAATTGAAGTTAAACTAACTGAACGACAGTTTGGAGGAATTTGGGATTTTTTAAGTCCGCAAAATGTTCTAGAAGAAATATATTTTGTCAAATAGTTAAGTGTATTATATATTCATTATTCAAGAGTTTTTTGTACATAAATCCGCTCCGACAATTGGCATTTAAATACAGAAAAATGAAAGCAGGATCTAAGTACATATCAAATCTATTTTGGATTTACACAAAAACAAATACAAATGAATCAAATTTTTTAAAACCTTGTCTAGTCGAACAACTATCAATCCCCCTTCCCATGCCCCACCCCGCCACTCTCCTCACCCCTCACCATGGATGTTCCCAAGTTCTTTCATTAAAGCGGAGGAAAGAAACCTATATTTATATCCTTCCTCCAGCTCCACAGATGTAAAGGTTTCACAGTTGATTACCCTTCTATACCCTTCCTTAGACCTGTACCAGGCATTTACAATGTACATACACAGGTCTAATTTCAAACCTCATCATTGAAGAAATCCGCGAGTTTGCAAATCGTTGGAAAAATATGGAACATTGCATGGAAAGGATGGACAAAAATTAAACAGGAAAAAAGGAATAGGGTAATATTGAAGAAATATGGAATTGGAAAAGATGGATAAACATGGAACAAAAAAATGATTAAAAAATATTGAAACAACATAAGTGGAGAAATATGGAATAAACCGAGAAATGTGAAGCAGGAGAAAAGTAAATATATCATAAATAGAAAATTACTATGTTTCATAAAGAATTGGAAATTCGGGTCGAAGAAGGAAAGTAGATTAAGTTATGAGAGGAAGGATTAAGTATAGAGGAAATTAAGCTATAAGAGGAAGGATTAAGAATTGAGGAAATTAAGTTATGAGAGGAAGGATTAAGAATAGAGGAAATTAAGTTATGAGAGGAAGGATTAAGAATAGAGGAAATTAAGTTATGAGAGGAAGGATTAAGAATAGAGGAAATTGAGTTATGAGAGGAAGGATTAAGAATAGAGTAAATTAAGTTGAATGGAAGGATTGAGAATTGAGAAAATTAAGCTATAAGAGGAAGGATTAAGAATTGAGGAAATTAAGTTATGAGAGGAAGGATTGAGAATTGAGGAAATTAAGCTATGAGAGGAAGGATTAAGAATTGAGGAAATTAAGCAAGAAGGAAAAATTCATAAGTTGGAAATAACAAAGTTTAAAAGGAAAAAAGGTGAATGAAAAAGATTCTCAAGACGGAAAAATCTAATATTAAGGAGAGTAAATATTAAAGAATTCATTTTTAAATAAAGTATTTTAAGATAAATCCTCAATTTATCTTCCAAGAGATATAATCTAACAAATATTGAATGCTCGGACCGGGAAATTATTTGAGGAGCAGAAAACTGAACCCACTCACCTCATTTGTGTTCCAACGGTGCCGCTGGGTCGGGAAATTGTCAGATTTAGGAAGAGACTCCAGGCTCTCTGGTAGCTTGATAGGTTCTCCATCTAAATAATATTCTTTTAATTTCATATTCTCAGATCTATTTCAGGCGTGAGATACTAGATTTATGCAGGTAATATCATGATATCATTGTAATTATCACTATTTAAAGGTTTACGTCCTGCATGTTTTCTTGGTTTATAGAATATATGTGGTCGGAGAGACATAACTCCAATTTATCTTAATCCTCTACTATAAATAGTTGTGTCACTTCCCCCTTCCCCTACCTCGGGTTCAGAATCCCCCCCCCCCACCTCCCGCTCTACCATTCCATCTCTTCCAGATGCTATTTCTTTCCCTTCGTTCTCCTGGGATATCAAAATCATCCTTCGTCATTTGTTAGTAAACAAAACCTTTCCAGCCTTACTCAGCTTCCTTACTAAGGGTAGGCTTCCTGATACTTGAGTAGGAGTAGGAATAGTTATAGTACTAATACTAGAGTAAGACTCCTAGTTCTGGTACTGACACTAAAGTAAGAATCCTAGTTCTGGGAGTGATACTGGAGTAGGAATCCTAGATCTGGTACTGATACTGGAGTAGGAAACCTAGATCTGGTACTGATACTGGAATAAGAATCCTAGATCTGGTACTGATACTGGAGAAGGAATCCTAGTTCTGGTACTGATACGGGAGTAGGAATCCTAGATCTGGTACTGACACTAAAGTAGGAATCCTAGCTCTGGTACTGATACTGGAGTAGGAATCCTAGATCTGGTGCTGATACTGCAATAGGAATCCTAGATCTGGTACTAATAATGGAGTAGGAATCCTAGATCTGGTGCTAATAATGGAGTAGGAATCCTAGATCTGGTACTGATACTGGAGTAGGAATCATAGTTCTGGTACTGATACTGGAGTAGGAATCCCAGATCTGGTGCTGATACTGGAGTAGGAATCCTAGTCTTGGTACTAGTATTGTTAAAACTTTATACCGAAAGAAAGAAAAACTGTAATAACTATCTTACAATACAAAGTAAGAACAGATGGTAAAATATTGATAAAATGTATTAATTGTTGTTAATCCTTTCTAGAAAAACCGGTTTTGAAAGGAAAACAATCCACTTAGCAAATATTCACTATGGCTTCGGTAGGATTGGAATTCAAATCCAGAGTCAAGAAGGAGATTAAATTCTAGTTTCAACATTTGCATTCAAACCAACCTTTTCAAAGTTAAAACTGGATTTATATTGTTTTTAATAAGTTAGGAATATAAAATAGATCATGAAACCTTTCACCCTTGATACCTCATAGCTTTAACTTGTAAACCTTGTAATAAACGTATAATGTAATAATAAACACGGGATCCTTGGGGAACACAGGAAGGTTTATTACTGATATTATATTAATGCCAAAAGATACTTTTCCACTTTTTCTCGCTTCTCATATTATTTGCATAAAGGACAAAAATGTTTTTCTTTTCAAATACTTTTATTAATAAAGGGAGTGTTCTTAAATTTTAAAAACATGTTTAGGTCGGATCAGGGGCGGATACAGGATTTAAGTGAGGGGGTGCTAGATTTATTTTGGAACAAAAACATCCAGATTTAGGAACAAAATTTTTTTAAATATATATGTTTCCTGTGTTGCACAAGGTTTTCTTTCCCTTAAATGCTATAAAGGAACTATTCTGAATTTTTAGGGACCCACCCCGAATCCGTCAGAAGGTTGCGAAGGTCCTGCCGCCCCCCCTGTATCCGCCCCTGGATCGAATCATCATATTATATTATGAATTGATTTTTAAAAATAATTGAATAAAATATTTCTTTGAAAGATAGTTTTTAGAAAACTTTCTGTCGTATATTTAAAAAAAAGATTTTGCTAATCTTTTGAAAGTATGTTAACTTTTCAGGAAAAAGTTAGTCGGTTTCAAAATATTGAATTTCTACCACTCTACCCTTCTGCTTCTTTATTCTAACCTTCTCCGCTAGGTTAGTTTAATAGGATGGGATGTTTGATTTTTCATATAGCTTAGTCCGCGATGAAACATCCCACGAAAATAAACAATTTTTAATCCCTTCAAAATACAGGAGTACTCCCTTTAAAATGTGTGTGTATGCAAAGTTAAACCAAATTCTTGCTGTGGGACCGAAATCTTGTATTCTGCTCAAGCAAAACCTTTCTTCTTCTATCTCTTATATATTCTTAAAATTTGTCAACGTAAACCAGAGCCAGACCGACACAATTCTTGTTTTTCTTTTTTTCCCTCAACCTAAGTGCAATCCTAGGAATTTTGAGAATTACTGGAGGAATTTTGTTTATTCAAGATCTCTGATATTTAGAGTAGAATTGTTGGGACGGGTCCAGGAGTTTGTTCAGCTCCAGCTCTGGTCAAATGGTTTGTGATATCCCTTTAAGATCTGATACCCAGAATTGCCCATAAATGGAATTATTTAGAAGTGGAAGATTCGGAGAAAGCGTCAGAAAAGATAAACTACTGACCTAACAGTGCTACAAGAATACTAAAATAAAGTAGAATTTTCTTTCCAAAAACATGAGATGGCAGTCAAACCCTTCTCTAGGATCTGATTATGGAGAAAACTATCCGGTAGCTGGATAAAGAAATATACTCCAGTATCTGGGTAGAGAAATATACTCCATTATCTGGGTAGGGAACTATACTCCATTACCTGGGTAGGGAACTATACTCCAGTATCTGGGTAGGGAACTATATTCCAGTATTTGGGTAGGAAACTATACTCCAGTATCTGGGTAGGGAACTATACTCCAGTATCTGGGTATTGAACTATACTCCAGTATCTGGGTAGGGAACAATACTCCATTATCAGGGTAGGGAACTATACTCCAATATCTGGGTAGGGAACTATACTCCAGTATCTGGGTAGGAAACTATACTCCAGTATCTGGGTATTGAACTATACTCCAGTATCTGGGTATGGAACTATACTCCAGTATCTGGGTATGGAACTATACTCCAGTATCTGGGTAGGGAACTATACTCCAGTATCTAGGTATGGTTCTATACTCCAGTATCTGGGTTGGGAACTATACTCTAGTATCTGGATAGGGAACTATACTCCAGTATCTGGGTTGGGAACTATACTCTAGTATCTGGATAGGGAACTATACTCCAGTATCTGGGTAGGGAACAATACTCCAGTATCTGGGTATGGAACTATACTCCAGTATCTGGGTATGGAACTATACTCCAGTATCTGGGTAGGGAACTATACTCCGGTATCTGGGTATGGAACTGTACTCCAGTAAAGGGAACTATACTCCAGTATCTGGGTAGGGAACTATACTCCAGTATCTGGGTAGGGAACTATATTCCAGTATCTGGGTAGGGAGCTGAGTACTTGAATAAAACCCAGTATTTTCAGCTGCTACACTCACAAAAATAAAAGTTTGAAACAACTTGGTTTAACAAAGTTTCCAATCAATCAAGAATTCAACATTTAACAAGTTTTCAGTTCCGCCAATATTATAAACAGATGAACAAAGGGTGCTTTAAAAATATTTCTGTTTTAATAATGTATCATATTCATCTTTTGTATGAAGCGGTAAAGTAATTAACAACAAGAAAATAAAAACGATCGAGCCTTATTAATTCAACTCCCATGAGGCGGTAATTACAACCATGATGTGCTAGTATTAATACCGATACATGATATAATATAATTCTTATATCCCCCCCCCCTCTGTAGGGGTACAGGGAGGGGGGATATCTAATCAGTATCCTCGCCCTTCGATAATAAACATTGATTTTACAGTGTAGACAGGAAACCTTGTATTAACGAAACTTATTTTTATTTTAGAATTACTTTTAGATTTTTGACAATAAACAAGTCAATCATAGAAAACAGTTGGATATATTTTTAGTTGAAGAACTTTTCTTTGTGTAGAGAATATAGTTACTAAGTAATGAGTGCATCTGCTTACTCCAGGTACACGGATTAGTAGGCTAATACTTATTTTGAAACGAATTTTTCTCATGTGCACATTCTAAAAAAAGGTTAGTGGGTGACACTTATAGAACTTAATTAGTTGGTTGAGAATTCCTTCTGTAAAGATTTGTAGGCGAAAATTATAGGATTTGCTGTGTTAGTTGAAAACTCCATGTGTAAAGATTAGAAGGCGAAAATCAAAGGAACAAAGTTGGTAGGATGTATGGTCAAGGTTTAGGGAAAATTACGCGAATACTTCCGAGTTAATAGTTTGGATGTATACTCCAGGTTTAAGAAAAAGTACGCGAATTCTTCTAAATTGATAGCTTGGATATATACTCCAGGTTTAAGGAAAAGTACGCGAATAGTTCTGAATTGATAGTTTGGATGTATACTCCAGGTATAAGGAAAAGTACGCGAATACTTCTAAGTTTAGTTGATGTAAACTCAAGGTAAAGATTTATAAAATTTGGTAGGTTGGTATAATATATAAGGATTATTAGGCGAATATTTCTGAATTGATGTGCTGGATGGGAATCTGTGAGAAGCTTGGAATAGCAGGTGTTGAATATGTATGAATGTTATTGTATAAAGGTATAATCCTATCTGATATTAGAATTTTCTCGACACAGGAGCGGGGAGAAGAACGGAGTAAGAAATAGAATAATACTTGTATAGATCTTTCCTTTATTGGATGAGAGGACTTAAAGCCAACCTTCTCCTCAACCTTACACTCAGTACAGGAAACTAATGTACTTAATGGAGGTTCGGAAAACATAATATAGATGGATGGATTGATACTTCTTTATCAGACCATGAATTACCCCTAGAGAGGGAGGGGAATGATGAAGGGGGGGTAATATGTAGCAAGAAATATTGAAAGGTATGATACTGTACAATTAAACAAATAAATCCTATTGGCAGATGAATAGAAGTGCACTCGACCTAATATACAGTTCTAGCATTATAGAATCATTTACAGTATCTAGAATCTAGATAGAAACAAGGTTTTATTTACTTTAAGTATCAGTATTTTTATATAGATTTTAATATTTGTTTGATCTTTAAAGTTAGGTCATAATTAAACAGTTCCTACTCCA